CCCTGCACCGTTAACCCTGTAGCAAATGCTATAGGTGCCCTTTCGTTTTTGCCATGATCTAGACCAGCCCGACGATGGTCTAGGAGGCCACCAGTAATGGACTATTAGTGCATGCCTTCTCCTTTTCCCATAAAAGAAAATGCAAGAGTTGGCAGTCTGGCTGCAAAAGTGGTCTTCTAGTCTCGAGCTAAAATGAGTTGGGTAAACAATAAAACTGAAAAATATTGGGAAAAAATTCAAAAAAAATTGGATGGCATTTTTGAAACATTGATTTTGTTTTTTGAGAAACTCTTTTTTTTTTGAAAATTTTGCAAGTGCTGAAAGTTTTCTTTTATTTTACTGTTCATCCGGGCTCATATGAGCTCGGGCTAAGATGCTCTGCGTCCGGCTATTCTGCGATTTGGTCACACGTAACGAATCCGAAATAGCAGCGGAGTACAGGAGCAGTACGTGTTGAGAAGGAGTGGAGCGGTAGACAGGTTTGCTGTAGGAGGGAGTGGGAGTATCATGCGTGGGCCAGTAGTCCGCGTACAGCACGGAGGTAAATCAGGATCAGGACGCATGTGATGTGAAGTAGTAGTAGCCCAGCACTCAGCCCAAGCGTGCACATGCATGCATGCGGCCGCGCGTGAACGGAGCAGGACGCGCGACCCGCCGCCAGCGGCCCCGACCAAGCAGCGGGAGAGAGGGAGCGACCACCAGCCGGCCCCGGAGAATCTCGCCGGGATTCGCCCCGTGCGCCGCTGCGGCCGCCACGAACGCGTCCAGCGCAACAGCCAGCCAAAAAAAGGACCGAGACCCGCGGGCGGGCGAGACGGACGGCGAGCGGGGTCACGCGGCCTCGTCGCGGCGCCCGGCGGCTCCGGCCAGTGCAACAAGCCAGACAACGAGCCCCAGCGTGCACAGCGGCCGAGAAGGATCGCTCACGGGCACCTACGTGCCATAGGCCTGGCCGGCAGAGGGAAGCCGACGAGGGGCGAGCAGCATCGCGACGACGCCACCGATTTCACCGTCCCGTCGACGACAGGATCGATGCGATGTGATGTGATGTGACCCCTGTAAACCTGCTGCCACTAGCCACGGGCGCACGGACGGACGACGCCGGGCGGAGAGAGGAGATAAAGATGTTGCGAAACGACAAGCCCTTCCCGATAGACCGCACAAGTAGCGAGCGAGACGGGGCGTGTGGTAATTTCCGAGCAGTCGCTTTCGTCTTCCTCCATTCCCGTCATCCCGTGAGAGTGAGAGTGAGGTCGTAAATTCGTACTAATGGTGATGGTGCATCTCATCTTATGCACGATGGAAAGAAGGGAGCGCATTGGGTGCACGGTAGTAATCTCTTACTACTTTAAGCCGCGCCATTAGGCATTAGGGTTAGACAGACAAGTGGAAAGGCGGCCATGATCAAAAACAGTTCGTCGAAAGCTACGGGTCGAAAATAAAAAACCAGCCCACCCAACCAAAACTGTATATGCGCTGCTGCCTCGGACGTCGTGGTTACTTTCCGCGCTCGCTAGCGACGGTCGCAAGCAAAGTGACAAGACCCGTCGGTGACCGGAGCCACCGGCCAAGATCAGTTGTTGGCTCCTCCCAAAGATAGCTACTAGCCCTCGCTGCCTCTCACCGCTCGAGGAGTCGCTTTGATATTTGGACCGGACTCACTAGCTAGGGCCAACCGCTGCTCCACACACCCAAGAACCAAGAGCCATGCATGCCACTCAAATCCAAACACAAGAGCCTCTGTATCGAATTTTGCCCATGTGTTTCTCATATTTTTACTGTATTTTTGACGAGACTCTGCGTTCTCGAGTCTCGACTGCTTCATGCTACACCCCAAAATGCCCATTAGTTTTTAGTAAAAAAAAACATTCACAACCACTCCCGTAATACAGAAGGGAGAACAGCAACACTGAATTTGAAGGGAAACTGCAGAGTGATTTTTGTTTTTTTGAGAAGAACTACAGAGTGCTTCATCATAAACCAGTAGCCTTCCAGTTCTGTAGAGTACAACTACTGGTACTCTACGTAGTACACTACCCGTCGTTTCAGGTGGTACATTACACCGAACGATAATAACGGAAAAGGAAGAAGAAAAAAAAAAGGCCAAACCCAAAGCTAATAATCATCTTCCAGGCGGGCCGTGCCTGGGCTGGGTTCAGGCCGAGGTCTCCGGTCAGCTGCATGGCGCGGTAGCTACTAGCAGCAGTCGGCGGCGACGTCGGCGAGCGCGCGGCGGAAGGCGGCGGGGGAGCAGCAGGGGATGCGGAGCGGGCCCTGGTGGTCGTACCCGTACTCCTGCGCCGCGCGGCCGAGAAGCTCCGCCAGCGCCGGCCGCCCCAGCAGCTCCGCCCGCACCAGGAACCGCTCCGCCTCGCTCCCGTCCCCGACGTGCACCGGCACGTGCCCCTCCGGCACCACCGCCCTCCCGCCCCCGCCCCCGCCCCGCCGCTTCGACGACGGCGACGCGGGGGGCGAGGAGGAGTCGTCACCCACGCGTGACAGCCGCCGGATCAGCTGCCTCATCCCGACGATTCGAGCGTCGGCCGTCGTGCTCTCCTGTGCGTGCGCGAGTGAGTGGAGCTGACCAGCGAGCGGGGTTGGACACACGGACAGAGACGCCGCGCTTATTTATAGCGCCGGGCAGGTCTGTCTGGGCCCCGGATCGCAGTGGGGATTGTCCGGTCGGGTCGTGGGCGGGTGCGGGTGGAGGCAAAATTTAGTGTTTTGACCTTTTTCTGAAACCTATTCGAGATCTGACCCTAGTTTAAATTCTTTTCGAAATCTAACTCTTTTACTACCGTCAGGGTCTATGGCGGTAGGGTGTAACAGCCTACCGTTAGGGTCCTTGGCGGTAGAAAATATCCCTACCGCCAAACATACTGACGGTAGCCTGTACAACCCTACCGTTAAGGTGCTTGGCGGTAGGCACGAGCACGCACTGTGTTCAACACTTAGAAGAAATTTACGGTAGGACATGCAACCCTACTGTCATGGACCTTGGCGGTAGCAAAATGATCAGATCTCGAAATTTTATCAGACTAGGGTCAGATCTCGAATAGATATCCGAAAAGGTCAAAACACGAAATTTAGCCGCGGGTGGAGGGCACAGGCTCAAGTGGGACTGCTTCCATGGCATGCCCATGCCAGGATATCTCTTTCCTGTCTCTCGACAGGTGCTCGGGCGTGCGGAATTCACGGTGTCTCCCATTTTCTCTGTTCCATCTTTAATTGTAAACGTGGGAGAGTGCACGTTGAAATGCTCTGCTCTGTGCCAAAGAGCCCGGCAGCGTCGGCGTGCCGCCGCCGCCGCTCCGGTGCTTGGGCTACGTGCGTTCCGCGCAACCCGTCGAACAAGTTCATCATGGCCGCCCGGCCGGCCATCTACCTCTGCCGGTACGCGAGCACTGTGCGCGCATGTGGGGTGCCACTGTCACCCCAGGTACAACAACGGCCACTCCGGCAGGAGAGGAGTGGGCCCGTCACCATTTCCCAGTCTGGAGCGGACGTGTCGAGCGCCGGGAGCGCGACGCCGCACCAGCATAGCATGGCATGGCCCCGATCGACGGAGATGTTGGCCTCTTTTTCCAACCTCGACCCGCGCAGGAACATGCGCATGCAGGAGCTACGATCGAGGCGGGCGGCGACGTGACCGGCGGAACAACCACTCCTGCTACCACCACTGTTGCCGGGTGTACGTCCGTGGCTCCTCGGCCACTGGTCGTGGGTTCGGCGTCCACCCGCTGTACCGGCCGTCACCTCCGCTGTTTCCGGCCGTCCGGTGAAAATGTATAATCAGCTGACCCATACGTCGTAGCCGCATGATCTTTTCTACTGTTTATCGAGATATGCACCATGTTTATGTTGTTAAGCAAACCACTGAGCAGTAATCCTGAGAGGACCTTTCACACCTTACCTCGAACGAGGTCTCCAAAGTCGCAAGAAAACTATTACTCTGCCTTTTTGCATCTGTACTTGAGCCACGAACAGGCACCTAACAAAATAGTTTCATGGCAATAGTTATTTTTCTACACAACCAATTCAATCCTTTTATGTAACATTTGTAATGAGCCACGTTGAGTATTTTTCTGTAATATATGAACCATGTTTCAATGATTGTCCCGACATATAATTCATATGAGAAACATTTTATTTGAACACACACATCTTAAAAGTTATGAAAATATTGACGTGCATTGTTTCATACTCCCTCCGTCCCAAAATTCTTGTTTTAAATTTGTCTAGATACGGATGTATCTAACACTAAAATGTAACTAGATACATCCATATTTAGACAAATCTAAGACAAGAATTTTGGGACGGAGGGAGTATATGGTAGAACATGTTTCAACCAACTAAAAAAAACATGTTTCAAGTTTTCTTTTTCATATAATATATGAACTTACATGTAATTGATATGGTGATCGGTGCGCTGAGATGGTGCACGACGCTTCAATGTCATATGCAAGCGGCATGACATCATGGTGGTAGATCCAACCTTTCAAAATTGTGTGGAACATTAAAAGGGGTAAAAAGTGTAGCCCAAGTGCTTCAATTGGGTAAATTTTAAGAAATACCTGCTAAATTGGGTAGAGGTGTCACAAAAATCATCATAGGTGTGGTAAAATGTGTTTTTTTTTCCTGGATGTATGATGTCAACCTAGGGATCGATGATGAATAAACCATATAGTATTCTTCAGCGGCACATTATCATTTTGAAATGGGACAAGTATATTTTTCGTCCCTGAGCTCTTTCGAAAGTATGAAAATGGCCCATCAACTTCAGAACCAGTAAATCTTAGTCTCTCAACTTTCAAAACTAGATAAGTTTAGTCCCTTGTGTCACTTAGGGCGGCTCCATGCCGACTTGGACTGGTTTTTAACTCGCGACAGAAAAGTTGGGCCCAACATATCTCCCATCAACTTCAAAACCAGTAAATCTTAGTCTCTCAACTTTCAAAACCAGATAAGTTTAGTCCCCTCATGTCACTTAGGGCGGCTTCATGCCAACTTGGATTGTTTTTTAACTCGCGACGGAAAAGTTGGGCCCAACATATCTAAACATTTTTTTCAGTTTGATTCCTACTCTTTATCTCTCCCACTTGGATGTTCCGGTGGTAGGTGTTCCTTGGCCGACGTGGACTGAAAAGGAGCATCTTCAACCTCTAAACCAGGACACATCTTTCTCGAAGCCTCCATGCTTCGGCTTCCGGTGGTCGCTGGCCACCCGGTGCATCGACGCCGTGCAAATCCCCACCGTGCACCATGTGCTCCAGTTGCCGAGCCTACGGCATGTTGCACGTCCACATCGACAACATCAACAACCTAGGGATCGATGATGAATAAATCATATAGCCTCTTTTTCAGCGAAGCATCGTCATTTTGAAATATAAGCAGATGCAATCAGTTAATACATGGGACTCATAGTTTGTGTTTGGTCAAAGGGTGTATCTAGCTTTCATCTAAATGAGAAATAATCATGCCTCGTCTAAATGAGAAGTAATCATTACCTTTTTGCATCTGTACTTGAGCCACGAGCTAGCACCTAACAAAATAGTTTCATGGCAATAGTTAGTTTTCTATACAACCAATTCAATCCTTTGATGATACATTTTATATCACCCACGTGAGTATTTCTCTGTAATACATGAACCATGTTTCAACGATTGTCCCGACATATAATTCATATGAGAAACATTTTTTATTTGAACACACAAATCTTGAAAGTTATGAAAATATTGGCATGCATTGTTTCATATATGGTAGAACATGTTTCAACTGACTAAAAGGACATGTTTCAAGATTTTTCTTCGTAGAATATAAACTTACATGTAATTGATATGGTGATGAGGGCGCTGAGGTGGTGCACGACGTTACACTGTCATATGCAAGTGGCATGACATCATGGTGGTAGATCCATCCTTTCAAAATTGGGGGGAAACATTAAAAGGGGTAAAAAAGTGTAACCTAAGTGCTTCAATTGGGTAAATTTTAAGAAATACCTGCTAAATTGGGTAGAGGTGTCATAAAAATCAACATAAGTGTGGTAAAATGTGTTTTTTTTCTAGATGTATGATGTTAACCTAGGGATCGATGATGAATGAAGCATATACTTCAGTGACATGTATGATCGACTTGTAGTTTGTGTTTGGTCAAAGGGTGTATCTAGCTTTCATCTAAGTGAGAAATAATCATGCCTCATCTAACTCCTACATCGTTGAACTTTACGCGGAGTTTCGTGGGGATTTTTTTTCTTTTATATTCTAATAGTGTATGCGTTAGATGAGACTTGTTAATTATCATTTGGACGAGAATTAGAAAACTCATTGGTCAAATATTTCTGCTTGGTGCGTGATGGCTAGCTTAGCCTTATACTAACAAAGTCTGAACCTTATTGTGTCGTCTTATATGTGTCCATCATGTGGCCATGTTTCTCCACTAACAAAGTCCGAAAGCTCAAAGTGCCGCCCGTTTCTCCACCATGTTTCTCCACTAACAAAAATCAATCAACGACGGCCGTCTATGCTCATGCATGCTGTCACATTGTCATTGGAAGGTTCGGTCAGAGATATGCGCACCTGATTATCAAGTGCGTCGCTCAAAAGCTGAGTGGCGTCCAGTCAAAGTGCAAGAATGTTGCAACTATACCAACTAGGAGTGAAAAAGAAGAAAAGGAAAACGTTCCAAGTATGATTTCTGGTTTTGAAAACTTTGCAAAGGATGTTTGTTCAAGGAACCAGACGGTCGCAACGGCTAGTGCTTTTCATTAAATATCGATAGTAGTGATACACATATTCATAATGTTGAAACCAAAAGATGCAGAGTTGATAATGATAGTGCAACTTATTTGTGACACTGCCGTTTGGGTCATATTGGTGTAAAGCGCATGAAGAAACTCCATATTGATGGACTTCTGGAATCACTTGATTATGAATCATTTGGTACTTGCGAACCATGCCTCACGGTCAAAGATGACTAAAACGCCGTTCTCCGAAACTATGGAGCAAGCAACTGATTTGTTGGAAATCATACATACTGATGTGTGTGCTCTAATCAATATTGAGGCTCGCGGCGGGTATCGTTATTTTCTCACCTTCACAGATAATTTGAGCAGATATGAGTATATCTACTTAATGAAACACAAGTCTGAAACATTTGAAAAGTTCAAAGAATTTCAGAGTGAAGTGGAAAATCATCGTAACAAGAAAATAAAGTTTCTACGATCTGATCGTGGAGGAGAATATTTGAGTTACGAGTTTGGTTCACATTTGAAACAATGCGGAATAGTTTCGCAACTCACGCCACCCGGAACACCACAATATAATGGTGTGTCCGAACGTCGTAATCGTACTTTACTAGATATGGTGCGATTTATGATGTCTCTTACTGATTTACCGCTATCATTTTGGGGTTATGCTTTAGAGACGACCGCATTCACGTTAGATAGGGCACCATCAAAATTTGTTGAGACGACGCCTTATGTGTTGGGGAACGTAGCAGAAATTCAAAAATTTTCTACGTGTCAC